TTAGTCGACACATTACTAGAAATAATAGCTTTCTAACATTAAGTGGTCACCGAAACTCCATAGTGAAAATCTTTTGATTCATGGATGCGTCAGACCTCTTTATAATTTCTACACAGCTATGTTATCAGCGATTGTAAGTCAGGTGAAGATGAATCTATGCATAAGGAAAATTTTGGTTTACCGAATTATCTTTTGTTTTCCTCATGACCCACTGTATATTTCTCACCGTTCTGAAATAACGCCTCCTGTATTGCATGAAATGACTTTGAAATGTACTAAAAGCGCCTTAACCAATCTGTTGACTGGTATTAGTCTTTGTCAACAAACTCATATCAGTGCACAATTCTCGCTTTCTCGGCTTTTTAACATCAAGAAAGTAAGGCGAAATAAAAATAGGTATAGAGCAATCCTCTGGTTCATTTCTACCGAGTTGATGCCGTCATAAGAAAGTAGTGTTTGGTTATTTTATTTTTCATACCTACTTGTCGCGTATTTATTAAATTTTTGAGTTTAAAAAGCAACACACTTTGAATTGTTCAGTCTTCTCTACAGCATTTTGATTCCAGTTAGACTACCCCAATTGTGTATTAATTAACATCAGTTTTTTTATCATACACAGGTAAAAAAAAGTTACGAAATGGAAGTGAAGCTGCATTTTTTAGTACTAAAATTAATATTCTTTAATTTCTCATTTATTGATTCCATTGGAAAAAACCATGGGTTTCGGTTGTTAAGTCAGCCCCTAGTGCAGACGCTTCAGTGACGTTATTTAGTTGATGGTAGCATCTAAAACAATAGTTGCTGGGTTCAGGGATCATTGGGAAAACTGAAACTCACTGAGAATATAGGTTCATTTAGCTAGCGAGTCAAAAAAAGAAGACACACTCTTCCTACATTCCACTGCTGGTCACCAGAAATCAAATAACATCATAGTATTCACGCTTATCCACTGGAAAATAAAGTAATTACTCTTAAAATTTAATAATTTCATATTATCAGTGAAACTTTTAACATACAGCAGAAGATTGTTTTTTTTTTTTTCAAAAAAAGTATCAGTGCCAATTTGTAATTTAATATTTCTATTAGGCATAAACTCTTGTGAAAAGAATCAGCTGTTTTGACGAACTGCAATTGTTCAAGTGCTACCTAGTGTGAAAACTACATGAAAATAAGTATAAGAGATTTTTCTTGTGTCAAACTATGTGTGAAAACGTAGAGATAAACACTGTGTGAATTCAACCATGGGATAATTTACTTCCTCTTAAATAACAGTAATTGTTTTCCATAAGACAGATACGCCTTTTTGTCCTAGAATTATACTTTTCTTTACCAACAGCAAAGATATTTCATTAAAATTAATAGAGATGAATGTTTGGAGAAAGATTCTAACATTATGTGCACTGAATCAATTGCTTCTTGTAATTTTCCAGTTCACTTAATTGTGGTTAAGTTAGAGTTAATTATTGTCTCGTGACATTGTATTTTAAATGAACTTTAATTTTAATTTCTCCAGAAAGAAATTTAGTCAACTGTAGATGTATCTATTGTATGTGACGTCTTTAATTGGTAATATAAAAAATGTAATAAGTTCACTGATAGACACACAATTAGTTTGGTATGCGAATAATTGTTATGCAAGTTAACCAATCTAATTGTTGCCTGTTCTATTTCTGTGAACAATGGAGATTTCAGGAATAAATGCTTTCAGGTGAAAGATGCCACTAGAGAATTCAAATAAGTTCACTTCATATTGAAGTCTAAGCTGAAGATGTTGTCTATTAGGACAACGACAGCTTCCTGATTGAACCACCCAGCTCAGAGCACTTAACCACATCAGACTGTCAATATAACCATAATATGAAATGTTCTTTCAAGGTTTAAATGACCTTGCAACATTTAAATGTAAGGTCTATGGCAAAAGTTTAGGTTAACATGGAGAAAAAAAGGTGATGAATTAACTCAGCAAACAATAAAAGCTAATCATTGTCAATGGAAGACATCTAAAAGAAGCCATCTCTTTTACCTCCCTCTCAGCAAAATCGTTTGGCCTAAAGACAGAATAATAATAAAGATGTTAAAGCCTTGAAGTTTAGCAGTAAACCAGTCAAGAATGTATTACCAAGTAAATATGTGATAGCAAATAGAGATGGACTGGAGATAGGCTAAGAAGAGATCCAAGTGACACCACATTCCAAGCGCCCGATTAACACTCGAATTGGAAGTGGAGTGTTGGGTGTCCAAGAATGGTATGAGAGAAACCATTTCGAGAGTAAATGAAAGCTTGTAGGCAGTTGTAAACTGAAGTGAAAATGACGGTAGGGAATACAGTAGAATGGAGATGTGATTTTAAAAATCCATGTCCCACCTGGAACACAAAAATGGATAATAATAATGTTCATAGGACTTTCATCATGAGCTGACATTAGTTAGAGAACCATTGGAAAACCTGGGAGTACTGGACAGCTCTTCCGTCCTAGTTTGGGACTCTTCATCAGTACGCACCCACCGGGATTCGAACCCAGGACCTTCTGGTTTACAAGGCGAGTTCGTATACAATTAAGCCACTGCGACCCGATTCAGTGGCCTATGAATTCTGACTAATGTCAGCTCATGATGAAAATCCTGTAACCAATCAAATCCCTACAAACCAACACTTGAATAATGTTCATACTTGATTTGATTTCCGTAAAGTTATGAGGAAAGTCAGAGGAAAATGATCCTTAATTCTACCGGATGAATTCGTTATTTAGAGAACACTAACAGGTTTTGCAGTGTGGATGCAGACTACACTCGTCTCTTTTTTCATTTTTCTGACAGTCTATAAGTCTAAGTTCAGGAGGCTCTGACCAAACTTTGAATAGATTCGCGCTCAAAATATGGTAATATGAGTTGATTGAATGAACGTCAGAACCTTTAGTACACACCACCACTAAACCAAGGTATAACATAAACTAATGAGATGTCCGAATGTTTTTTTGGTGATGCATCAGTAGGTCACAAACAGCAGCAGACTCAATAAATCAGTTTAACAAGTGAACTGTTAAATGATCATCAAGTCTGTACAGTTTAAATGTCCTAAACATGTGTACGCTACATGAACCCAGGAATTAAACATGTTATGAGTGCTTCGGCTGAATGGAGCATGCAAATATGTATATATATATTTATATATAGAGGATTTATTTCATTAGTATGTTTGTCAAAAGTCTTGTAATAAGGTGTCAGTTTAAGGAATTTATTGAACTAGTTTTCTTATGAAGTCTCAAGTTTTAGAATAAAACAGATGTATCACAACCTTTGGATATTTAGCTGTAATTTAAACTGTTGATCTCTCCTGCTTTCTTGATCATTGTATGAATCAGCATTTCAAGTTAATACGCTTAGAGTCTTCAACTGAATTTTTCCTGAGGTTTGAAAGTAGAATTACCACACATCTTATTTGTTACGAATTTATGATTTGTATGGCTTGAAATCAAAACAAGAACCAGTCGCCCAACAAATATGCAGGAGAAAGTGGAAATGGATTGGACACTCGCTGAGGAGGCCGATGGATGACATCGCGCGTCAGGCCCTCGAGTGGAACCCGACAGGGAAGCGGCGAGTAAGGCGTCCAAGGGTGACATGGAGGAGATCGTTTGAAGAAGAGTTGAAACAGTATGGACTAAGATGGATGCAGGTGAAAAGTACAGCAGAAGACAGAAGCAAGTGGAGACGTGCAGTTGAAGTCCTATGTTCCACTAGGAACCCAAGGGAACAATAATAATAATAATGGCTTGAAATCCTTCAAATGCCTAAAACACGATGCTTTGAAAACAAAAAACAACATAACGAATGGTTTAATAATTGATTCATGAGGCCTAAGAATTAAAACTGGTCGAGGTTATTGTGTTCGAAACGTCATCCAGTGAATAACACTGTTTCACTGCGTGATATATCTAATAAACAAATTAACATGAAGTTACATACTCTACCACAGTGACCAAGTTTTACACATATATTAATATCCACATAGCAGGATTCTGCTGAAACTTATTCAACTGTTAATTCTCAAAACTGGCTGCCACTCACAAGAGTTATGTCAATTTTCTGCACGTCTATTAGTTTGATTTGTCTTGAAAAGAAGTTCCTCCAACGCTTAGTTTGCAAACGTCACTTTTTACAGTTATCTTGTTATACATGTCGAAAGGAAAACGGTTAAGATTACTCATAAGACGTGGAGATTACATACACATAAGCAGCAACGATATCTGATAGAGAAATTAACAGTGCTGAAGAGTAATTGAATTAATTACGGTGTAAATCATCTAATCACATTTCTTCTTGTCACGTATTCAAGATAGTCAGCATCAAGATCTTTTAAATTCGAACTGAGTTTGAGTTTTATCCATCCCTCTGTTTGTTATAGCATTTTGTTATTATTATTAATTTGACCCTTGGCCGGAAATTATTCTGGAACTTTACCACCCATTTATCAATAAATACACGAATGTACAGCCTAGTTGATGACTTCGTCGAAAAGAAAATTTTCTTCGCTACAACCGTCTTTTTAATAATTCCTATGATCCAATGCGTATATTCCGTAATTAAGGAATACATTTTTATGCTCACAATGAGAGCTTTGTTTAAGGCATAACCAAAGTTTGAATAACTTGAAGGTAGTTCAGATATGTCATTTTTGATATTTGGATCAAAACTTATACACTAACATGAAGTAAAAAAACAAATTCTCATAAAACCTATATCTACGGGGGGGGGGGGGGCTTAAAATTAATTTAGAACAATAGGATGCAGGACTTTTAAAAAGGGATTTCACCTCCGTGTTACTTTATGAAAATTCCAAAACAAAAGATTAAATCTTAGCACTGCTATGGTTGATGTCGATATCAACCTAATGACGTAACAATAAAGAACACTAGATTTATGTCATTAGCACTCAGTCATCAAACTGACTGTGAATACTTTAAGCAATTTCAAACACTTTAAGTGAGACACATACTTACCTAAAATTGCTGCAAGGATGTATAACCCATTTTCCTTGTTGTACCTGACGTCGTTTCTCTTTAAGCAGTGCATTTTTACTCCCAAATAATTTCATTGCTAATTTATTATCAGATGGTTGAAAAAATGCTTGAAATTGTTCTTTTAAATAACTTGAAGTACTTTGTTTTAAAGGATCTATTATTGGTTCTGTTAAATTACCATTAGCTATGGCAGTCATAGCAGTAGTTGTTGTTGTTGTGCCGGCAGAATTATTTTGCACATTAGTTATATTATTACAGTTCACTACACCAGTTTGTGAAATATTTGCATTAGATGTTAGCGTACATTTATCAGCTGACATTACAGGTGGATTGCCATTGCTGTCAGAAACAATACGGTCAATGCTATATGGTCTTTCAGAATCCAAATCAATTTTACACTCAAGATTACGTGTACCACTTGAAGATGAACGATATAATGATGTTTTCTGAGTTGGTGGTGAATGCACCGAGTCTGATGGATACTCAAAAGAATCTGAAACTTTATTTAGTGTTGTGTTGAGATTATCTTGATTTAATGTATTTTGTGTACATCTGTTATTCGTATATGGATAATTTTCAGAAATCAAATGACTTGATTCCTGTTTTATCTGTTTTTTAGTATCAGATCGTTCAGCATTACCAAATGGATAGTGTTGTTCTACTGCTGTTGTGTTCATTCTTCTCATGGCATTTAAGCGATTAGCTCTTTTAAGAGCAAAATTAGGTGTTGTATTTGCCTCATTAGTCATCATCGCGTTTCTACCTAGAAGTAAATCTCTTTCTTTATTTGTTTCATTTGTAAGTGATTCATGTATTCTCGTCGAGTGTAATGAATGTTCAGAATCCATTCGAGTAAAGTCACATGAAGGCCAATTTATTCTTGGGTATACATCATCAACAACATCACCATAAATATCAACAGGTATCTCGAGTATACTACTATCAAACTGGCGTGGGCTGTTGTAAACTTGTTCTAACCTATTTGTAAATTCATTCAATCTATATGGCTGTTGATATGGCTGATTTGCTACATTATATGCATGTAGTTGTGTTGAAGAATGTTGATGACTATGAGAGGCTGACTGTAGTGGCGATTTGAATTGTTGGCGTGGATGCGGATTCTGTTGATGAGTATGACGATGAGGCTTATTTTGTGCTTGATTACGATGTGTATGATGATTATGTCGTTGTTGTGTATTTCCGGCTATGGAAATTTCTGTATCCTCAGGATTATAGACATCTTTAACTTCAGATACAGCTCGACGTAAATTTGGACGAAATGCTCTATTAAATAATCCACGTAATAATGTATGATTATCATCATCCACATCAATACTTTTCGAGAAATTAAAATGTACCCTGTTGGGTGTATGTGAAATGAAATTACGAGAAGAATCCCACTTTTTCTGAGATTGTTGTAATGGTTTATTAGCAGTAATAACGTCTTGATCAGATCTATTTACATCATACTGTTCATTGTTATTGTCATTAATAGGTAATTCCAAAGAAGTATTTTTTAATGGATAATCATTGAAACAGCTACTGTTATTATTTTTATTATTATCACTGATGCATATCTGATCAGATGAATTTGAAAGTTTAATAGAGCTTGATATTTTACGCTCTGATCCTTCAATTTGATTGGTTATTGGCGATGTGGTATGGGAATGTTGTAATTGTTTCAGTGATTTTGATTGGTCAATACTGGTTTTCGATTCGGATTGGGTTAATTCTCCAGTATTTTTCAGATCATATTCTGAATCTGGTTTCAAGAGTAAAAGTAATAAATAAGTTAGCCACAAGATATAAACTGACTTTTTGAAAATAATTTTAGTTCAGTATAATTTCCTGGCATTAGATGATCCGGGACAATCAGCAAGAAGCCTCGGACCTAGGTTTCGTGCAAGTTGACACATGTCAGTAAGGCGTATCTGCAACCTTGAAGAAACTTATTTCCCTTCTGATGAGTACTAACTAACACGACACCTGGGTCTAAGGCTTCCTGCCGGTTGCCACCAAACTTCTAATATCAACAATTCAAATTACATCGTGATGGCAAACCACCTTGAATGATGGCCACATTGCAAACTTGACTGATAGAATCCAGTCTGCATCAAACAAAGGACTAGACATATTACGCTAGTTTAATCACACTAGTATAATTTGCTGGCTCTGAGAATTTGTCGGTATTTAAATAAATTCATAACGAGGGAGAGTTTGGCACTTTGTAAACGCCACAGTTTTAGTTTAAAGTTCACAACGATCTCCTATGTAAAGTCATAATATTCAGGATAAAATATATTGTCAGCCTGGTTTGCAACAAACTAGTTCTCTCAGGTGAGATGAACCCTATGCGATCGACTGATAAGCACTACCGCAAACAAGCAAAACGTCTCCCAGTGCTATGACCTATTCTACCCGGCTAGTAACCACCACAGTTTTATATTAGTGGTTTCTAACATTTTTATAAGTCAGTAGTACATTCCAATTTACAATTATGAGACAGAGGAATGCTTAGAGTTGAAGTATACCCATAAAAATATCTAGATATTTAATATGGTAAGTGTATGGTGAATATTAAGGATAAATCGACCGAATAGCCATTATTAATTAATGTTTGATTAATAATAAATCTCAGAAACCAGAACCACATATTATCGAAAAGAAAAAAAGATGATATTTGATATTTTCCGATTTCTTTATTTCGTTAGACTGATCTAATTGGTAATGAATAGCAAAACTTATAAATGGTTCCATTTCGTCATAAAGAAAAAAGGGATTATAGTAACATTTCATTTTTCTGCTAGGATTAGGACGTCATAGGTACCACTATCTTCTTGTTTACTGTTTCATTTAGCTTAAAGTTATCTCATTTAAGTATCACTACAAAAGTGCACCCCTGGAATCAATTCAATAACGTCGGTATTACATGCATGCATTATGGTGCATGGTTCCATTTTAAAATGCTCGTCAACTATCCACGTAGTCTGAGTTTTGGCCTCCATCCATTGCCAAATCGACCAGTCAACCACCTGGTAAAAAGCCTTGAAAAACGGGACTCAGGATGTGATTCTTACAACTCCACCTCGTGAAAACATCAACACTACTGGGGATTCTCAAGTTTGAAGCCATATGTTTCACTCGGGTTTCGAGGAAATGATAAAAAAGTATGTATGCATTGAAAAGCAGAAAACGCTTCTATTGTCTACATTTTATTTTGCTCATCAGCGGAAGTTCGCTCATCACTTTTACTAACTTGTTGACATCTAACACTTCACAATTAATTTTCCACCAATTTCCAAATGATTTCCAAATGAAATTATATTCTATTATTTATATTATATATTATTTATGTTGGCTGTCTGATTAAATTTGCGCTACCGAAGAATCCCATCGGTATTTCACAGATATTTTCTACAGTTCGGTTTTTTTAAATCTTAAAAAATATGACTATTTATCACGTTTTATATTTTGGCTAGAATTTAATGTGCTTAAAACTTGCTGATTCGCAAGTTTCTGGTTATCATGAGAAAAAAACATAATCGTGGGTCGGGGCATATTGCAGTGCAAGAGATAGCTGTTCCTTGGTTGTTTCCTTGGTTCACAAAATTGATTTCTGAAACGTTTCTAATTCTCATTCAACCGAATTACATGCATTTATTTACCTAAGAAGAGAAAGGAGAGATATCATAATTTCTTGGTATGTTTCATGTCAAGTAGAAGTGTTTCACGTGATCTGCCGTCACGTGATGTTTTATTTGAAGATCCTGGATGAAGAGAAAATATCGTACAGTAAACTACGCTGAAAATTTTTACAGCATATAAACGCTGTACAAAACAAAGTTATTATTATTCTATGTGCACTATATCTCGTCTTAATTTTTATAATTGTTTTTAGTTACTGAAACATTTTTAAGTAGTCAGACTGTACTATTCGTAAATAGGGAAATTTTTTGCAACCTGTTATTCATACTTATTTTTTTTTTTTTTGATTTACAGCTTGATTCCACACCGTATTTTCAGTACAAGTATGGAATTTTCAGCATGGATATCGGTTAGCCCGAATTCAGGCCGACCATAGATATTCTGAAAAATGGAAGTCGACCAGTGTACTTTGAAGGCGTTATAGTTTCTAACAAAGGATATTTTAGGTAGGAAATTATCTAGGATTGGAAGATAAAGCAGCTATAAAATGGTCTACAAAAGTCAACAGTTAATTTTCATCTTTTACTAAATCTACTTTTAGTTGCCTTAGCATGCTAATGTATATTTTTTCATGGACTGGTATCAGCCATAAAACCACTGGAAATCATGGGATCACTGGACAGCTGTTTCTTAGATGTTCTGGAATTTTCGCAGTATGTGCCATTGGCACCATCGGGGAGAGAACCCAGAACCAATAGGTTACGAGGCCGACTCTTCGATCATTTAGCCATCTTGGTGGAACTAAATAACCCGTGAAGCCTGACATTTTCTTTATTTCGTGATATAGCGTTATAGCGAACAAATGCTCTAGATGAGCATCCGGTTCACTCATGGCATGGTGAATTCCACTGTCCAGGACCTCTCACTAGAACTTTGGTTAGCTGTGATATACATTTGGCGACTAACTGATTATTTATTCAAGAAACACAAATTGCAACAGTAATCCTCGTAAAATCAATGTGATATCCAGTGGGGAAATTTAGTTCCTACAAGACTGCGGGATTACAAGTACCAGTTGTAGTGGAAGTCACTTCAGATGGATAAAATAAAACATGAAGTTATTACATAATACGTAGAGGATAGATATGGTGAAAAGCTTACATTTTACCACTAAAAGCGTTACTTTCAACCTCACTCTTCCCAGTTTAGTATCTGAGTTAATAATAATACACAGAAAGAAGGAGAATTCATCTCAACTTTTGAATAATTGATGTTCATCTTCCCGAAATCAATAATATGCTAATCTAGACGACTTAATCCCTTTTTTATACCTGATCACTGGCATTAAAAAGTATCAATTTGACAGTAATGAGACTCGATGAAACCGATTCTGTAAAACTAATGAAACCTACACTTTGATGTTTTAGAAATTATAGAACGAAGGAAGGATCGATGAAAAATAGTCAGGTAAGAAGATTACTGTATAAACTCAATAAACTGCTCTAGATACATAAGTGTATGTTGTTGACTTTTAGGTTTGTATGTTTGTCAACCAATCTACAATTTCTGTTTATACTCAAAAAATGTTTTCAAGTTCTTAAAATGTTTACAGAAAAATAATTGCAAAGCTGAGGTGGTTTTCTCTCTCCTCAGAAATTTATTTAAATCTGAGTGTTTTCTTTTTCTTTTTCCCGGATTACATTATGTTTTGAAAGATATAGATGAGAACACCTCGTTTAGTTTATTTATTTATTTGTGTTCAGTAAAGAGAATTATATATATGTCTATAGGGTAGAGAGACGATGTGGTGCCAGAATGCTTGATATTGCCAATTAGTAAGATAAGCTCTTCTCACAGAGATGTCAAATCTAGCCGCGAATGTCTTAAAAGTATTTCTACACATTAAATAGACATCTTCAGAAGTGTTTCTGGGTTTGTTCTAAAAATGTTGTCTGTTCTCTATCTTTCTCGGAAGAGAGATCTATATGGATAGTGGTTTTCACAGGTCACACAGATGCGTAAGAAACTCCATTAGATAGTTTTACAAGATATAACTTCACCATAGTTCGCCCATGTGATATAGCACACACGGATTCACATTTTACCTACTAGAAAAGATGTAGTTACCATTTATTCAAGATTATAGTAAAAACAACAAAGATGTACACCTTCTAAAGTGTGGTGGTGCAGTGTGAATATGTTCTGATTGAACCTGTCGAGTTGAAAACGACGGCATGTTTTAACCTTGATCATACTTTGTTTTAGTTCATTCTAATGAAAACTGAACATACTACAATATGCGACACTGAGACAACACAGAAGACTAACTGGGAAGGTAACGATTTATCCCTCCTGGGAAAAGGCGATAAAATTATAAATTACAGTTAATTATATACTTCCTTAACATAACCAAAAAATTATAAGTTTAAGATATGAAAATCATTTTTTGACTGGATAGCATGTGCCGACAAATATTCAATCATAACTCTTTTAATCTAGATTAGAGTCAAGTGTCTCGTTTGCGGATCACACAACTCCGAATTTCCTGACATATTACTAGCAGGGTTAACGACACCTTGAAGGTAAGCCACATCTGTGGACTAGAATAATCTGTCTGCTTCACTAACTGTTCTAAGGTTCACGAATATAGCACTTCTGCCCCAATATTCGTTTAATCTATTTGTCTTGTAAAAAATTCCCACTCAAAATTCAATTACATTTTAACAATGATCACTTGTGTTAAATTAACACGCAGTTGCAATCATTGCCATTTTTATCCTAAAAATAATTACATATTACTGAATGAACAAAAGCACTTTCCATTACTATAACTGAAGTAACTTTATGGTGATACATCTATCTCAGAATGAATCAATCATCTAAAACAGCATCTTAATTTTAGTCATTCTAAAAGTTTAACGTTAATATGTCTAAAATACTTAGTACTGAATCTCATTTAATTGCGTTTATGTGGTTACGAATGATTAATAGCCGTGGAAGTTTACACTATACTATACAAATAAATATGTCACTGAATTAAATTGAAGGTGTTACATAGTCTTTCATGAGGAAGGTAAATAAACGAATTAATGAAAGAAAAGCACACAAAGAACAAACGATGAAGAAAATTTCAAGGAAGTAGTAATTTCAGACAGGATAGGATCTGTTTACTGCAGAAAGACTTGAGGTACAATAGCCTCCTTAGGTCATTAAAGGACTTGGGAAAAAGAGCTTGTTATCAAACATACTCTGAGACTACTTATGAATTCAGAGAAAAAACTGTACTTTTGAAATTATTGAATATCACAAGAACACATAGACAAATGCCACCTAAATGACAAAAATATTGTAATAACTGAAGGGGATAACTGAAATGTAAATATCCGTGTGAAAAGAATTATTCAAGAAAATAGAACACTTTATAAGATGGATAATGCTGAAACATTTAAGAGGGAAAAAGTTCATAGAAATAGTGTAAATACCAACAGACGTCTTCAAAAAGTGAGACCTAAAAGTTCTTTGGTACGAGTCGAAACACGGGTACTTTATACGTTCAACATTCTACAGACAACCAATAATGCACATTATTGGATAGCTCTCCTTATTCCCATATTTGAATTTTATCAATTCACCGACATGCAATCACTGAAAATACTCATTCTTAATATTAACATCTTTCCAAAGTCACAAACAGCATATCACTAAGGGTTTGTTTGGAAAAAAAATACAGAGAACTCGACAAAAATAAGATAATGGTAAGCTTTGGTGTTGTTTCATTATCTACTGTTACCTCTTGGTGCAATTCTCGATATCCTCAAGGTGTGAAAATTCAGCTTGAAACCTGAGAGCGTCGATTTTAGATGGTTGAAGGCAATCGGCAGGAAGCCTTGTACCTAGGTTTCATGCTGGTTGGCACTCATCAGCAAGGTTTATCTGTAACCTTGAAGGAACTGATATCTCTTATGAGATTCGAACCTGCTACACTGCCAGTGTGACTAACAGAATTCAGTCTGCACCAAACAACAGACTAGACACATTACACTAGTTATTAAGTAGTGTCCAACTGAAAGTGTGTGAATGCGTATTTAATGGAAAAGTTATACTGACAAACAAATGGAGTAGGAACGGCTTTATCCTTTTTATCAGTAACTGCAAGTGTATTCATGAATTAATTTCAAAGGGAAGATCTTAAATAAAAATCAGTTAGAAATACGAATAATATGCGCGTATATTGATTTCCATATGTCAAAAAGTGAAAAGCACAAATCATTTCATTGCTGAAATCATATGAAGTTACAAAGAAATCAGAATCTGATAAAGGTTATTTACTATTTCTAGGTTTTGCAAATAAGCATCCAGTCTTCTAAGAAGAGTAATATATTGAAAAAAAATTCGGATTAGAAAAGGAGGAGGAACTAAGCACTACAAATAAAATTCTTGAAATAAATACCCATCTCAAAAATATTATTCACAAAGTAAGAAAAATAATATTAATAGTGGTGGTAAAAGTAATTCGAAATCATGAACCACAATATTCTTTGTTTTGTATATGGATGAAATCAAAAGGGCTTTCAGTAAGTGTGACATCACAGTATTATTTAGGACATCGGATACAGTGCAGAAGAGTCCTGTTTATAGAAAAAGAAGCAGTATTTTAAAGAATTCACAATCTAAGTGTTTTCACAGAATGAGAAACTTAGACTGTGATGCAATACAAGCAAGGCAAATTTACTGAGAAATCAATATCAAAAGAAATAAGCGCAATAGAGCCTTTGTTTCCTTCCTGGGAAATTCATCAGAATATACTCAAGTCATATGGAAATATTTTAAAAATTACTAAAACGGTCTCCCAGAAGAAGCGATTCACACTGAATAGAATCCAGTCAGTATGAATGGGGGTGAATGGTTAGTTTTAAATTTGACGTTACCGTCCATCTACACGCCAGTATTATCAACACATTTGTGATAAGAATTTTCCGTTATGTAAACATATGCTGAATTTTAAAAATTCACACACTTCAGATTTAGCGATCTGCACGTTCCTGTCATCTTTATCAGCTTATTCATTCGACAACGCTTAGTTTACTTTGACTGACTTACCTTTTAAGATGACACCATATAACTTCTTTACTCCTTTTTTGATAAAAATGTTAGGGAAACTCAAAAAAAACTAGGAAGTATAAATTTCTAAGAGTAATAAATGAAATGTTACTAGTTGTTTTGGTTGATGATAACAAGTAGTGGTATCCAAGCTGCGCATTTCGTCATATTTGAGGCTGATCATCTGAATGTACCTGCATTCCAAATGAATGATTTTCCCATCGGGACTCGAACCTTTTTTGCATCCTTTCAAATGACAAACGTTATCCGCTTGACTATGAAGGCGATAATGTTTCGTCTTGAACCCATCAGTTATTGTTTTGAACAGCGAATCAAGGGACAACTGAGTGTTTCCATAGAATAAAATCAACCGGTGCTAAATTCAAGGTGATCATCTCAGCAAATAATAACTAACATCTGTCCAAGATCCAATTTATTTAGACCTCTAAAATCAGAACCCTGTTTCAACATCCATATGTCTTGTTCACGTCACACCATGATTATTATTATTATTATAACTTTACGTATACTAATTATCGGTCCTCTGCGCTATGTATCATTTTTTAATAATTAAACATGTCATGCTATTTTGTCGCATTCACGTAATTTCTCAACTCATGATGCCTAGATCGGTTGTTGACCATAGATTCACATGCTCGCATCTTTCAGCAATACTACCTCAAATTTTAAATGACTGTCATTCTGTATGCACTGAAATAGCACTGAACTACTTACTATTCGATTGTTTAGAAGTCGACTGATAATGTTTTTGTCTACTGTAATATTTCTAGGAACTGATTATCAAGCTGTACTAGAAGGAATATCCTATGGAGAAGTTTAAACAGAAAGTATGAATACTTATTTTTACAGTGTGAGATAAAATTATTTATGATTTTAATCAGTTGATAAAACGAACTGTCATATATATAATAGTTCAGAGGATGTGTGCATTTTAGGAGAGGATGAAAAATCAGAAAGAAGAGTCCCAAACTAGGACGAAACAGCTGTCCAGTACTCCCAGGTTTTCCAGTGGTTCTCTAACTGATGTCAGCTCATGATGAAATCCTCCATACAATTAAACAAAATCCCTACCAAACCAATACTTGAAAATCAGAAAGACTAATAAGATTAGAAGGCAAATAAAAACATTATGCAACAAGGTGGGAAGTTTGATAATGTGGATTTTAACATTGCGAAAGTATCAAGAATCGAAAGAATAAAATTGAAATAATGCCGAAGACTGTTTAAAATAAAACCAAAAGTAATAATCATAGTAATAATAATAAAAGGATGAAACTACATAGATTGTACTAAACAAATAAAAGCTTATTTTCACATACTAAGGTCTGGTGTGATCTGATGATTAGCCAAAGCCCCTTCTGTCTGTAGAAGACTGAAACAGAGAATAGGTGGCAAGTTAGCAATATTTTGATAGATGATCTTAAAACTATGCTCAGGGATGGTCGAGGGATAGAAGTCGACCAAGTATTTTAGAATAGAACTTCTAATGCCCTTCCTTTCTCCCTTGTGAAACCAAGCTGGAATGAGCTCTTGTATCCGTATGGTGAGCATTCTGCGATTATGATCTCGTTTTTGTCCTTCGAGAATCTCAGACACTCAGCCTATATATTTTCACTCGGATTTCCATTTAATGCATGTCATGTAATACCACTTGAAGACATCTACATCATATGTATAATCCATGCCTATTTCCAGCTGAAAATTTGTTGATCAGTAGTTTGTTAGCCGTTTCACTGCCTTCCACAGTTCAAAGTTTCTTATTTTTTCTGATTGGTCATCTGATCTCTCTAGTATTGAGTTATCAAAGATAAGTGTTGAGAAAAGACTGCAGATAGTTGTTGGAAATGCTTTTGATGACGCGTCCTCCAGGCTTGTGTACTGTGTGGAAGCACTGACTTGATATTAATAATGAAAATTCATATTTTTGTCCCTGCGTTCAGCGCAACAGATCTCCACACTGATTCCAGGGTAATAAGCATCCGTGCCAATTTTTCCATCCGGATTGGCTCCGACGTCCTCATCCTTGCTGCCAGTGGTTATTTACTTCAATCGTATAGCAAATTGCTAAATTTTATATGTACCATTTAGAAGAATTGGATCAAATTATTTCCCGACTTAAGAATAGGCCATAAATTATAAATGTCTATCAAACAAATTGACCGGCATGTTTAGTAGTCAGTTACTAAGTGTAAGATAAATATCACCTGAATAGTACGCTTACAGATAGTAATCACATTAATAAATGAATGCTGAATACAGATTCAGTCACTGATCATATTAAAATGTACAAAAAGACAACGGAAAAACACCGAACATAACGTATAAAGCATCGGTCATTGAAGCATATATTTACTGAAGTAAATTGTGGTTTATCTAAGCATTCAGCTCATTTCAGCCTGCATTCAGTCTAGCTAACTGCACACAGTACAAAAATATGCTAAGACTTACCATATTATTACCAGCAACTCCTTCAAATAACGTCCTGAAAATACGATTTGTGAAAAACTAATGTGTAAAATTTAACTTCTAATTTACACATTACACAGTTCTACGCGAAAACCCACCAGTATATTCTTTTGAAAATCCAAAATATTCATATCGTACTATGTTTTCAGTTTAATATTATAAATGGCGATCAAAATGAAAGCAAGTGAGAGCAAAATGTTTTGAATACAGACAACTTATTTCGTTTTTAGTTTAGGTACATTAACAATGTATCAGTTAGAATCCGCTCAGAAAGCCAAATCAGTTCGAATCAATGGAGATGTGGTCAGCTAGACTGATAAACTGATAATGCATACACCTATTTGTTTTAACTAAAAACATATTCAATAAATATATACTTACTTTGTACACTCATTTTCTTATCTTCTTTACTTGCTTCATTAAGCATATTGAACGACTGGGAAAGAGTTTTATCCTCTCCAACTTTTGATAACTTCAACTGACTATCATCATCTTCATTAGTAATCATATAGAATGAAGGATTACCACGACGACGCCAATGTTGTTTAGCCGCTTTTGACATTAATCAGTTCCAGCGTATTGAAATATATCCATTAGTATTTTTTTTTAATGTAAAGATATCATGTTTCTGTCCAAATAATGAGCTATGCATGATTGATTTACGTCCCAATAAAAAAGAGAAGGAAAAAGAACAATGCAGTTAGCTTCTTGAAAAATTCATATATATGCAGATATATATAAATATGCTTGAATGCATAAAATTATTACTCCTAATAAATAATTAAATGCCTCCCTTAAAAATATAATTTACTCTTCGCATATACAAATATACCTCCATAGTTCCTACCAAACATAAATGATTTCGGTTGTTAGAATACCAGATGCATCTTCCAAGATGAATTTATATAATTTATCTTGTAGTTTGATGATTATTAAAATCTGATGGCAGTTGTCATGTTTTAAAAGTTACTACTCTATGACAGATAAGCATTGAAACTGTTGACTGTACATTATATACTGAATTAACTGAGATTTTCTTGAGTAATTTCTTTTTATTTGACTACCAATAACAAGACTGTTACTACTAGATAAGAGTTGTCAAAAAAGACGTCTTATTCTGTCAGTTATGAACGCTTTAGTAATGTTATCTCTACTCAAACACGCAGATAGAAAAAGAAATATGGAACATTTCTCGCATGTGCTACTGAAAAGAAGTTGCAGTAAATATATTTGCAACGTCTTCTGCAAATTTCCTGAAGTGATAAGCAGTAGATGAAGTGTGTGAAGAGAAATCTGGGAATCAGCATTGAAAGCTTGAAATGTACATTAAAAATAGCAGAACACGAATACTTAATGCCACAACAAAATAAATCTGCTTTTGTTTCGGATACATTTTCTTTGTGTATGCATGTAAAGTCTCGTGGGAATCTTCTAATCCTAATTTCCACAATTACTCATCACGCTGACATTTCTAATCATACGGGGAAGATGTTTGATTTCTGAAAATTCATTTGCAAATTTTGCTAATTAACATGAGGGGGGTGTTTGTATCCTTATCTTGAAAAGAAACTAGTTTGCGTGGCATGATTTTTCTTTTGCTGTAAAAAAACGAAGAACTGCAGTATTTTTAATAATCAAATTTAAGCACCATACTCTTTCAAGTAGCTTGCCATTTAAGCTAAAACTAGACTAAGGCAGATTCGGTCACAAAGCGGTTTCAGATATGCAAACATAAAAGCTTAGTTAGCAAGTGTGTTTGTTCTGACTTATTTTAGGATTTTGAAATGTATAACCAACATGGCACAATGTTTATCCTACTATCATTGCATTTCAAAATGATGTGTGTTAAGAAACCTGATTCGGGTATCAGTGTGTTCAATTTGAAAAATTGTGGTTTTAATCTGGACCTCAGACAAGATGGTGGTAATGTTTATATAAAGAGGAGTAAAGCTGAACATCATGGCCATCTAGTGCTAGCACGCTTTGAGTCGTGGGGGGAATCTTTCCGGAGATTAGTTAGATCCTCAAAAACTGGAGAAACGTAATTAAAGTAACATGAAAAACTGGGTGACAGTGATATCATCTTTTCCTCAAACTTGATAGAGCAAATGTGAAATTTTCTTTTCTTTTAGTAATGTGTTGAAAAACGGAAATATTTAAACAAAAATGCTTTCTAAAAACTTCTTCAGATTCGCATATTTTGAAATAACAAAATATTAGCTTTATTCCACTTTAAAAACTTGGTTAGTCGGTGAAGGAACCTATCACGTGCCTACTCAGTTTTTAATTACGAACTCGCTTGTCATAGCAAAAGTGACTCGGCGAACCATGCCATGAACCCACTCATCATGAATGATGTCGAATAGTCATCAGCCTGCAATCATAAAACTCAAAACAAAACTGTTTTCCATTCAGCCATCAAATCTCAGTCGGACTCTGAAGGAAATTTGGTCAAGCCAATCAAAAGATTTATAACATTTATTTATAACCGAATCTCAGGTACTCCACAACTTTAGTCGTGAATTATTTGTTCAAAAGAAGCAAATGAAGCCCCTTCTTTTCATAATGCTCTCAAAATATTATTCTGCACACTTGTTAGTAATCGACTGTTTTCCTTTCTTAATTTTTGCAGAACATCTCGTTTTATTTCTTTTTATTCTTAATTCAATTTTCTCATGATTGGTAATATGCTTTTATTTGCTGTCCACTCTCATTTCTTATCCACTTCAACTTTCTGACAAAAGATGTATCAAAAACTTGTATTTTATAAGCTAAATTTTATATTTATAGATATTCAGTCGGGAAAATGACTTCATCCGAAAGAAAATTATCTTCTCTTCAGATGTATCTTGCTAAGTTTTACTCGTGAAAACTATTTTTATTGACAACTGAGTAATCCGGAGTGAATCAATTAGAGACAAGTCTGCACAGCATAAGACAGCAATTTCATAGTCATATAAGATTGATGATTCTTTCTAAGTAGGGAGTATGCATATATGCATCATTTTATGCATTATATTTTTATACCCAACTGATAGAACAAATCCTGAAATAAGGCCTCTATTATGCTTTGTTTTCCAGGTTACAATAACAACCCTGTTGGTAACTAGCAGTAAAATCCCGGCATCACGATCTGTGCACAGTGAAACAGTACGGATGGGTATTTGGTTGAGCTCTCAGCAGGACTCAGGCACATTCATTAGATGGGGTAGCAACATAACGGGATACATGTCTTCAATTCCAATGCCAGCCAATACCAAACAAGAAAACTTGTAAAACAATATTACGACGTATGCAAATCATCATTGCTATAAAGCATTTGGAAATTCATTTTCTTTAGAGGGTGCACTTGATCCTCATCATCTCAGTATTGTCAATGCGTTTTATTTCATCTTATTGCGCTTGTTCACCTTCACAGTGTTATCAAAAACTTACTAATTTTGTTAAACTGAATCGTGTAAAATAAGAGCAAGAGCATTCATTTAATCAAAATACTTTTACCTACATTATGTAGATCATATGGTAACTAACTGTATTGCTCATGAATTCTGTAGCTTTAGTTACTTTGTCAATAGTTTCGGTCTCTTTGTGTATCAAATACACACTAAGTATTTCACAGAGTATACATTTTTGCCATGTTTGATGATATACAAGCATTCTAATATCTGGGTATTGTAAAATTTTCCTCTCACTAATTATTAATACTATTATTATCATTATTCTGAATTGTATTTGAAATGGCAGACCTTTGAAGAGAATAGTTGAGTTAACTGTATAATTTAGAGCTATCTAAGAGTTAAGTGAACAGTCATTCAGAGAAATACTGAACATCCCTTTTTCTAAAGTCAAGGCTTACCGTTTATCAACGTCCTCTCTCGATCCCACAGGGAATTGAGTCAAACAAATAAATGTTAAGACTGGGCACGACACATTACTATACAACAAATGTCAACTCTTTCTCTCTCTTAATTGAACATGTGCATTGAATGTAATTCATACATGACTGAATTCACTGTTTGCACATAGTTTTTCCTAACACAGATTTTTTTTCAGTCCTCACGTTTCTTTTTATCAAATTTCATCTGTGCAAAAGTGAATCAGTTCACTTCATCCATAGACCATGAAAACCAGGTCATACAAAATTAACAGAAGTTAATTAAATACTATGAATTAAACAAGATATTTAATAGTGAACTTCATATAAAATGTAAAAGGATGGAAATTCCAGAGCTGTAGTAAACATTTATTTTTAATTGATATAATCTAAAGTGCTGATATAACTTTACTTGTAAAACAAACTCCAGCTGCCTTCAGACATCAAAGTGTTATCCATTAGGCCTTTGGTCCAGAACAGCTACCTGTTTTGCAACAGATATGGTTAACAATGTTTTGCTCATGTTAGTTTACACATTCTGTTATGTGTGTTTCTTGAATAGTCCAGAGGTATCATTAGAAAATCATGAAGATGAATATATAACCTAACAAATGTTGACACCTTTTTAACTTCAATACAGAGAGAGAATCAATATGAATCATATGAAGGCAGTAAAGATAAATGAACACCTAGTACTTTCAGTAATATTCCAAAATCAAAATTAAAACGAGCATTCTAAAAAAAACGGTAACAGAGGTCATGTTTGAGTCAATGAATTTTACAATGTTAAGCAAATCTTTAATTTTAATATCAAATTTAAAACATTCTGTCAGTACACGCATTATCGTTCATTTTCCATCTTTATTTGTATATTGTACTGTCAACATTATCCATATAATAATAGACATCAGTAAGTTTACAATTATCATCTACGAAATCATGCCTATATAGTGGTGACTATACTGGAAAATGTATTAAGCATGAATGGTGGAGTTAATAATAGGAAGTCAAAACAACATCAAAAATTATCGAGAGTTGGTTTGTAAGGATTAGATTTGTTTTTATGAGTTTGATCATGGATTGGTGTCAGTTAAAGAATCACTGAAAACAAATAGTGAGTACTGGACAATTGTTTCATCCTAGTTTGAGAATCATCGGCTGTACGCACCCACCGGAGTTCGAACCCATGACCTTCTGGTTACAAGGCAAGCTCGTATACCATTCAGCCACTGGGACCCAATTCAGTGGTCAGTGCATGAATTCTAACTTCTACGAATTCGCGAACACCAACCATTGTCATCGGTGGGATATCCATCCACACATTTGACACCTGATGAAACAGCTGTCCAGTACTCCCTGATTTTCAATGGTTCCCTAATTGATATCAATCCATCATCAAATACGTAAAAACATCAAAAATGACGCAAATTCAAAATACCACGCAAACTTAAATCAATCAGGAAACTGCGGAAAAATACAGAGAAGTTGAGAGCTTTTCAGTGGACATTTTTCATTACTCAGCAGTGGTCAAGCACAACTCTTCTAAGATTTTTAGTCTATAGAATCATAAAATCAGCATCCAGACACTGGGTTGGAACCCAGTGACCTGTGATTACAAAACTATGTAGGTTCCCAGCACATTTCTTCTATAATTCAATTATAACAGTAAGTATCTCTCCTTACGCTTGGTGAATTTGAAAAAAAAAACAGAAAATAGTAGCAGTGACTAGTGGTAGGCTGTTATTCAGATATTAGGTTTTTGTTGATATG